GTGATCGTGGAGTAATTTTTTTCGGGGCCTAGTATTTACACCAAAGCATTTCGTAAAAATTCATGTCGAAAGTTTGCAGAATGTGCAAGATACAGGATGTTCATAAATTGTTTCAACAAAATAAGAAGAGTGATAATACCACGAAGACGAACAATATTTACAATTGAGCGTACGGCCACATTCTACTCAGAATGTCAGGGAAGTGTTCGTTTGAACTTTCAAAAGTGTGGGGGGGGACACGAGAGAGAGAATTAACGAAATATAATATCGAATAAATCTCTTTCAGATCAGGAAAAACTCAAAGAAGCTCAAATTCGCTTCCAAAGGCGACGTTTCATAATTCACACCGCCGAATGAAAGGCTTATGTACCCTTACGTAGTTTATTAGTGTCATATTTATGGCTGCTGCAGCAAAGATTCTCACGATGAGATTTTGTACTGAATCAAAATGGTTTCGTATGCCACCGATTTCATGTGCCCACAGAAGAAGAAGAAGCCAGGTGATTTAGGTGCCGGTGAATCATAAAAATCAAGGCACAGGTCCATCAAGTCCGATGTACGTGATATTTAGAATATTTCAAGCCATAGTGGTAAAATGTGCTGGAGCTCCATCATGTATAAACCACATGTTCTTCTGTGCCCTAGCGGAAGAATCTGCAACAAACCGTGCAGCACTTGCCGTACACTGCATCCTCAGACGTTCTAGCAATAGTTTAGAAACTATCACGCAGTCACCAAAACACCTGGCAAGTTGTTCAAGGTAAATATTTGTTAGTGTATGAAAGGGACAAGTGTGGAAGCTATTACTTTCAGTTCGTGGCTGCTTTTTTTACTTTCAGCTGGTTGCTGTCTATCTCACAAACTGTAGTTCACGAGCAGAGCCATCTACGTTTAAAGACTGGATATTGTGCTTGTGTAAGGGAGCGCATAACTGGCTCCAGCATGAAATTCCACATCTTATTGTGATAACCGTAGGATGCCACCGCTTGCGTCTTATGGAAGAAATTTGAAATCCCTCCTTTCCAGAATCCACACACTTCGCTTAGGTTTCATATCTCTGATTAGCAGTCAGACTGGATATGCAATTTATTGATGTTGTTTCAAAGAATTTTCTGTCAATACCGGCTGAATAGTTCGGAATATGATGCGTCAGAAATGATTTATGATAAAATCATTGTACTTTGTTTCTGTTGCCATTCAAAACATTATATGCATGTCTGCCAAATGAAGAGCACATCATAGACTTCATGAACAAGTTAATAATAACCTGAAGCATTCGAGATTTGGTGCTTTTAAGATTCAAGATGTGGTGCTATCACTCCCTTAATTTTGGAGAAACAATTTGCGAACATCCTGTCTAAATTCGCAACCGGCTGGATACTTGAATGACATTATGTACACATATACCACTAGGATTGTAGGATTTGATTTATTAGGCCTATACTTAGAAATATTATCAATAAAATTAGCTTATTCCTTGCAATAGCTAATTATTTTTCGAAACGAATTCTTTTATGCAGCATATCTGAAGAATTTCGGATGTTTTATTAAAAAATATCAGTAGCAGTTCCATGAAGTATGTAGAACTTTAGAACTTAATTCTAAAGAATACGTTAATTTATATTTTAGTTATAGTTATATTTATTGGCTATATTCAACAGCGCATCGAAAGAAATATTTCCAGGAACTTTGGTTTCCGAGTTGCCTATGGCTGGTTTCACACATCCATTTATTTCAGACGAACAACTCTTTCAGATAGTTTTGCTACCTAATTTACCATTGAAAGAAAGACAAAAGATTTTTTCCTTTCTTTCGCAAAAATTTGTAAATTTTTTGTTTGTTGCAATATCGAATTGCCCGTCGTCAACCATCATTTATTGGAGAACTATTTTTCCCTTTACATGGTAACATCAAAATGATCCACGTTGATTGGCTCTTTCATATCATGTGACAAAACATAAAAATAGTTCTCGAGAATTCTTCTTCCGAAATATTTTGATACGACCTTAAGTGGTTGACTTACTCGAAAACCATTTTTTTGGCCAAGACATATGCGAGGCAAAGAACGCGCAGCGAAACATTTTTATTAGCTTCGTAAATTGTCCTGGGACAGATACATTCCTGCATATTTGGACTTGAATGTATTTTAGTCCAGATCTCTACAGAACAGAATGTCGGCTCAGGCAGCTTACAGCAGCTTGCTTGTAATGTGTACCCGCGTGGAAAAACGCTATCCTGGAATAGAAGAGTTGTTGATTTTTGATTATTTATTAGTTTCAAAAAGTTCTATAGATGATCAAACACAAAGACACAGTTCGTAACAAAATCATAACTTGGGTAGCAGAGTCAAATATGCAATCATAAGACGTAATGACAACTAGAAAAATGACCATGTCTGTAGGTATAGCCAAAAATAATAATAAATAATAAATTTTAATTAATTAAATTAAAATTGGGGATTAACTATTATTATAACTATTATTATATTGGGGATTAACTATAGTATTCAAGGCAATTATCTAAGAAGTAACTGCTAAGTACTTTATGGTCATCTGATGTTGCGGGTTTAATTTTCAAAACTTCGCCGTTAACATGGCCAAAGAACTTGTTATATGGGAGAAGAATTTTACGAAATCGTAAAAAGAAATACCCTGTTTAGGGGGCCCACCAGCGGCCGAGCGGTAAAGTCACTGAACACTGGTAGTTCGGTCCGAGGTTCGAATCCCGCGAACGGGCTGACTGCATGAGTGTTTTCGTGGTTTTCCTCATGTGTAACGTGTATACGAGCCAGTTTCCCTTAGAAAGTCCTCCACGAAGGCATCCCTCCTCTTAGGCAGATAGCCCTAGAGGCTTCGCCGTAATTAAATAACCTAATCTAACCTAACCTATCCCTGTTTAGGTCTAACCATGATGGGAGGGGGCTTACGAGAATAAACTTTCTGCTGCCGAGTATAAGCATTTGCCTGATTATCAGAATTAATAGGAACAGAAGCATTATTAGCATTCAAATTACTATTGTCTACATTGCTACTAGAAGCAGAATTAACATTACTATGCATATTATCATTTAGAACAGAATGTCAAGCGTGGCAGCTTTAACTAAAAACCCTTCCGTTTAAACCAGTGCTGTAAGAAACTCGTTTCTCAGAAAAGTTTCTTCTAGCGTCGTGAGTCGCTGTGTATAAAAAACCATATGTTTACTCTTTTTTTACTAGCTTCAGCATGATTTCCTCTAGTTGTGAATGACACTTCCTCTAGTTTCCTCTAGTTGTTAGTTATATCTCTGATGTTTACAGCATCGAATGAACGTTTCTTAAGCTGTATCATTTTCTTGCTATTTGAGTCAGGTGACATAAATACTAGTTGTTATAAATTCAAGACAGCGTAAATTGGGATTACTCCGTCATGTAGGTTTTTCTATGCTGTACAAAAGCAGAACTTCTCGTAAGTCGAAATGGCGTTAGAGAGAAAAGGAATTATCATTGATTTATTTGACAAAATTTTTGAAAATTCTCAGGTCTTTAAAATCTACAAAATCACATTTGGGAAATAAATTAATTTCAAGGAAAGAATGATAGGATAAATTTATCATCCATATAAATAGGAACATATATGTATACCGTAGTTGCACTGTCAGAACTGGAATGACATATAGAAAGGGCAGTTACGATAGATCATTAAGTTGGGTCTTCGAAGAGGAGAGGAGAGGAAAGCTTGTGTCCTTCAGCTCTAGTTTCATAAGTAGAGTAAACCAGGCTGAAGTTTATGGTGCATAGGAAAAAGAAGAAGGTAATCTTTTAATTTAGTCCAGGAGCTCAAACTACGTGTTACAGTAGCGCTTGTCTGTGCCTTGTGTGTCTGTGTGTGTGTGTGTGTGTGTGCTTGTGAATCCATTGCGTTGCAGAACGGGGTTCGTAAGTGCCGAAGCCTCAGAAAGCTTAATAATTTAAATGAGGGTTTTGATTTGAGAACAGCCTTATGGGAATGAGAATGCGCGTGGTTATGTGATTAAGAGTAGTTCTTGCAGAGAAACAGGAGACGAAATAAAGCTTTGACTCCACAGCAACGTCAAACGGAAACGGTACAAATTGATTAACAGACGAATAGGCATGCCTGCTAGTTCTTTGGTGGGTGTTTCCAGGCAAAGGAAAAAAAAAAAAAAAAAGAGTGGTGTCGTAGCTGATACATTATTTCTGTGTCATGTACCAGTTATCATTTCGCTATTAGCTAATGCGATATTGGATTCAAGTATTTTTCAGAGTTACACAGTGGTTATACATTTAATAGCATATATAATTTAAAAGTCATACACTTTGTTTTAATGCAACAAATTTATATTATTCGTGTTATATTCTATATTTTGCTGCGTCAGAATTCTTAAACTAACAACTAACCATTTACAAATTACTCTCATCCGTTAAATAAAGGGCCCACCAGCGGCCGAGCGGTAAAATCGCTGAACACTGGTAGTTCGGTCTGAGGTTCGAATGCCGCGAACGGGCTGGTTGCATGGGCGTTTTCGTGGTTTTGCCCATGTGTAACGTGTATACGAGCCAATTTCCCTTAGAAAGTCCTCCACGAAGTCCTTCCCTTAGGCAGATAGCCCTAGTGTGCTTTGCCGTATTCTCGATACACCACCACACCAACCGTTAAATAAAGAGTACTTACAATTTCATCTTTCTTCCAACAATATCTCAAGAGCATAAAGCCTCAAATGTCGATAATGAATTTGTATCACAGCATGTTCTGTCCTCGTTATTACTGTAGAAAACTCAATTTCTTTTCATCTTTGACGAGTAACCTTAAAGGGCTTACTCCATTCGACTCACACAACTGCGGAAATGCATGGTTCATAAAAAAATAGAGAGTAAGTAAAACAATAGCCATCCAAAATAAGTAGTTAAGATCAATAAACAAATGAAATAAATAAATCAATGATGTGAAATAAAACTTCCTAAGTTTTCTTACTTTTTTATTGTTAACCGTAATCATCTAAACATTTAAAAGCAATATGTGTGTATATCGCATTCAGTTTTTCGCAATCAACTTTGAAATCTTTTTGTTCATGAGTAATAATTTCTTCTTGCTTCTATTTATGGCATGAAGGAAAATTTTTTTTCCAAGCTTATAAAATTACAGAGAATAAGCAGAATATACATATGAATGGAAATAATTTTACACAAAAAAAGCTACATTTATAAAGCTAAGTTTTCTTAACAAAAAAACTAGCTGCTTTGTTACTCCACTTAATTTTTAGACTAAATTTAGCAGTTTACCTCTCAATTTCATTGATTTTGGTCAATTTCACTCTTTCATTCATTTTCGACGATTATTTCATCATCCCCTACTTGCGGAGCATTTTTTAGCTCAGTTAGTTGGGCAGTACTCGATGACTTCACAGCAGAGCTAGCATTTGATGATGATAAATATTTATTGATTTGAGCTTTTTTCTCTTTTCTTGAAGACATGACTTCTGCGAATAAGAGAAGAATAGAACTTGCTATTCCTATTCCCCATAAGACAAAACCTCCTAGGATGTCAGTTATGTTAAGCGGTTTAGTTCCTTCTGATGGTTGCTTGGAACAATGAGTGTAGTTGGTATACACTCGATTCAACCAGTGGTCTGTCAGTTTCGCTTGTAAGATGTATGTGAGCCTAAAACGAAATAAATGAAAAATGCAAATTAAATAAAAATGTTAAGAGCCATATAAAAGCATTTAACTATCTAACTTATGATAAGAAGTTAAGAAGAAATGGAAATGCTTTATGTAGTACTTTTGATAGGATATGAGACTACCTATTCCAAGATTCAAATATTCCTGGGCAAAAAACAATAATAATAAATCTTTTCAATCCTTTGCAGTCTTCTTTTAACATTATAGAATTCTCAGAATTGTTCTGACTATATCTAGTTACCCATTGCTTTTCATAAAAAAGTGCAATAGCAAAAGAATAAAACGGTGTGTTGATGCAAAGTATCACTTATTGAAAGTCTCCAAAGAGCTTAATTCAATCAAAGAAATAAATCTTATCATATATATATTCTCTCTCTCTCTCTCTCTATATATATTATATATAGTCTAGGTAAAAGTAATTATAAATTAATAAGCCAAAACGTGCACTAAAGCTTCTAAGTAATAAACCAATAATCTATTATTAGAAAAGGTTTTTCATATATTATCTCCAAGGAACAGAAAATAAATTAAACAAAACACATATTAGTATTCTAATTAGCATTTTAAATCAATATAATCTACTGATCAATATAATCTACTTATTCGATATAATATACAAGTTAGGGCTTATTAATTTATTTATAATTACTTTTACTTAGAATATTTATTCTAACTTAATAGCAGCTTTAAGCGCTATTTTAGTACCTGCCACCTTAAACATATTATTTCCAAGAAACTGTTAATTTTGAAATTTTCTCACCAATTTAAGGCTAATCTAAGCGAAAAAGACTTTTTATTACAAACTTCTTGCCTTCCATTACTGAGCACAAATAAATTTCCAGCCATTTCATTTTAAGTTTTCGCCCACCAGCGGCCGAGCGGTAAAGACGCTGAACACTGGTAGTTCGGTCCGAAGTTCGAATCCCGCGAACGGCTGGTTGCATGGACGTTTTTCGTGGTTTCCCCCATGTGTAACGTGTATACGAGCCAGTTTCCCTTAGAACGTCCTCCACGAAGGCATCCCTCCCTTTAGGCAGATAGCCCTCGTGTGCTTTGCCATAATTAAATAACCCATAACCCATTTTAAATTTTCCAGATAAGTAGGTTTACTTTAATTTCATTTCTGACATTGTTCTTAAATTTAATAGATTCTTTCTATTCTATTATTCTATTCTTTTTTATCTATATTTCTCTTTTACTTTTAATTTTGAGTTTGAACATGGAGGTTCGGAGAATGTTTTTCTTAAGTAAGGATCTTGTTTATTTCTGTTCTTAACGAGTAACTTAAATTGAAAAGAATATCTAACTCTTTTTTGTTTAGTTTATAACTAGTCTTCTGACTTAAATGGACTAACTTCTTTCTATTACTTGTTCTTAATATTTGAAGTAGGTCTAGCACAATAATTATTTTATCCTTACATAGAAAAAAGACGGAACACTCTCACAATTGTTTTATTGCTTGGTTTATTCTATTCTTCTTAATAAGTCAATTAATCTGCAGTCAATGACATTAACTACTTTTCCAGTACTAAAAAAATTGTACTTTTGAATTTGGTGTTTAAATGGTTTTTATTGCAATAAAGGACTAGATTATACTGATTTAAAATTCTAATTAGAATAGTGACTAATAAATGTTTCCGTTAACTGAATTTCTGTTCCTTGGAAATTATATATATAAAAAATTTTTATAATAATAAATTATATATATATATATATAAATCAAAATCTAGAAAATTGAAAAGAAAAAGAAAATGCCGTATTAAATATTTGAAGGTTAAATCTATTTTCTCCATAAAACAAACGTAAAACGCAAATTTAAAAAAAAAAAACTGAAAACAAAAATTATAAAAAAAGGGAAAATTGTACATATTAAAGCCAAAACAATAAAAAAAATTTAATCTCCTTTGTTTAACGCTTCAAACAGAACTTGTAAAGCAAATGTGTTTTGAAGCCTATATATATGGAAATTTTACATTTTATGTAAATGAAAGATTATATACGGTGAATGTTAAATGCATACGTTGATGCTTCCTTATTTTATGTTATCTATTTGCCAGCTCTTAACATCCTACTTTTGTTAGAAACTCATACATAAAGCAAATAATGTAGAGTAGTAGAAGTAGAGAGTAAGTAGAAGTAAATAATTTTTATTCCTTGATTTAAAGCATTATTCCTAATTAATCAGTATTTCCTTTACATAAAATGTGTCATTCCTCCACATTAAGATCTGTTCATAGGATCTGCTCAAAGGTCATAAGATTGGATACAACGGCTTTAACTTTAGTTTTAAGCATTAACTTTAGTTTTAAGCGTTCTGTTACGCTTCTAAAGTTGTCCAATTTGTTTGTTAAATTCTATTCAATTCGTGACAAACTTTGTCATAAACCTCGTACAGTTGCTCAGACAGTTGTTAAGGCCTAAGAGATCAATCATTCTAAATTATTTAAAATTCTGTTACAGTTCCATAATTTCATAATGAAGCCAGTGCTTAACTTCTATCACATTGTAGAGATATTTGGTTATTTTGACGCGGGAGACGCGAAAAATTAGCAATGCCCTCGCCCGGACTCGAACTCTCGAGTGTCCTAACCGTTACGCCACGAAGTCATGCTGGAAGGAGGGAAAAAATACTTTATAACATCATTCACTGGACACAAAACATAAAAACATTGAAACATAAAAAATATTGTGAAGTAAAACCGATGGCTCATGTCTGCTGAATACTATATATTAAAAATTTGTGTTATGTAGGTACATCGTGTTGTCGATCCAAATAACTACTAGTTTGTTAAGTCAAATAAAAATATTTCAAAGCATTGAAAATTAATAGTTTGAAATTTGGTAAACCATATGTCAAATACATTTTGAGTAATGGCTTGCCTACTTAAAACATCATTAGCTGAGATGAGATCGTAAAGCGCAACAAGAAATTATTTGTAAATATTTTTTATCTTGTGTAATCTCGTGTATCTCATAATTGAAAGATCCAAAACTCTCATATACTGTAACCACCGCAAGTCTTAGTTTTTTTAATTTCCTTCGGGTCACTTGACAGATTCCCGTGTCAGAAGGCATTTTCTTTATATTTAAACTGTTAACTATATATGTCACAAATTAAATTTGCTTTCAATCCGAAAAGCAGCGGGTGTTAAGTTTCCTTTTCATTAACTTTCATTAACTGCTGCAGTAGTTGGAACTACTTCCAACTTTATACTCTCTTTTTTTTTCAAAAATATACACATGAATCTACTCATCTATATACAAATGCACATTAATAAAAAAATGAGGGGCTCATATTCTATCGGTAATCAGAAAAAAAAATTTGCCCTTTTGAATTTGAACTTAATTGAATTTGAACACCTGGGGTGAATCTGATGAAATTTTAAACAGCTCTGCCTCGCCAAATATGGTAGATCTGTCTACTTTTAATTTCCTAATTTATAAATTAACTTTTTTTGTATTATGTATTTCTAAATGACCAAACGTATTTTCAAATTTTTGTGTACTCCTAATATCCAATAATTTTGGATATATTCTTTTAAACACTTAATCAATTTTCCAATAGAACTGCAGTTTACACTTATTTGACGTCTAACTGGATTTCGGAAAAAATATAATTGATTCTACACTCTGGCCCACAGTGGCGGAGCAGTAACAGCTGCTAAATATTGGGAGTTCGAGTTTTGGCGAACGGGATGGCTGCATGGGCGTTTTCATGGTTTTTCCCAAGTGTAATGTGGATACGAGTAAGTTTCCCTTAAAAAGCCCCTCCACGAGACATTCCTCTGTTGCGGTATAGAACCTAAAGGTGGAGCACGTAAAAAATAAGCAAAAGCAATTCTACACCCTCAAAAGGGCCAACTAGCGGCCGAGCGGTAACTTCGCTGAACACTAGTACACTGGTGAAATAAATTAAGAGAATTTGCACATTATCGAAGTGCATGAAAAGAACTGAACTGAAGGAAAAAACCACTGCTTCTAGATAAAAATGCAAATCTTATACGGCAAATACGTAAGTGTGTGTAAACGAAGCCAGCAGAAAAAACAGACTTTATAAGCGCGTGGAGTGTAAGACGAATTCCGTTCGCTAGCACACCTCGGCGAATTTCTTGGGTTCATCTTGCAATCGGTTAAATTCACATCGGTACAGTAAAAATGAGTAACCACGAACATTTAGATGATGAAATGATGTGACGAATTGTGTGGAGGCTAGAGGCAAGCCAATCGCAAGTCCAGATAGGCGCAGAGTTAATTTAACGCTCAGCGTCGTGTGTAACCTATGGAAACAGTTCAGGATACTGGATCCATCGAGAGAAAGCCTAAGCAAAGTCGCCCAAGAGCCACAACAGGCAGATCGTTATTTGTCCATTTTAATGAGGCGTAACAGAGGGGCTACAGCTTCTCAGCTCTCTCGGGACCTGTATGCAGCCACAGGAACCCGTGTAACAAGGATGACTGTTTTCCAAAAAGACTCAATGAGAGAGGGTTGTTTGCCAGAAGACCGGCTGTTTGTGTCTCGCTCACGTCTACGAACAGAAGAGTCCAATTAGAATGGTACAGGCAGCATAGTGATTGAGTACGGAGCAATGGGCGACCATTCTGTTCACCGACGAGTCCCGGTTTAGCCTAAACACCAATTCTTGCCGTACGTTCATATGGAAAGAGCCAGGGACCCTCCAATGTCCGCGAAATCAACAATTATGGCTATGACGGTGTAATGGTCTTAGCAGGCATGATGTTGGATGGCCGCACACGTCTTTGACGAAGGCTCTGTGACTGGTGTGAGGTCCAGGGATGAGGCTTTGAAGCCCTATGTTCGCCTTTTCCGGGCTGCACTGGGCCCCGAGTTCATCTTACAGGAAGATAACGTGAGGCCCCATAGAGCTCTTCTGGTCGACGAATTTCTCGAAAGTGAGGATATTCACCGGAGGGATTGGCTAGCCAGGTCTCCAGACATCAACCCTATACAGCATGTCTGGG